CAACATGTCTTCTGGAACACTAGTAATGCAGGCAAATGGTAAGACTCCTTGGTGCAAAATCTAGACTTGGATGTGAGACCTCTTTAACTTGATGATCTTTGTACCTCAGTATATGTTCACAAGGGGCGCAGTAGCCAAGCAGTTAAGATGCTGGGCTTGGGTTAAGGAGCTCACTTTGTCACATGATACCTAAGCCTTGGAAGGTTGGCAGTTTGAGTCCTAAGTACCATGTGATGGCGTGAACTTCCATTCATTGCCCCAGCTCCTGTCCACTGAGCAGTTTGAAAACATACAAATGCAAGTAGACTGAGGTACATTTCGGTGGGAAGGTAACAGCTTTCAGTGTGCCTTCGATGTATAGTCATGCCAGCCACATGATCACACGAGTGTCTTCAGACTCTTTGGCTGTGAATCAGAAATGAGCACTACCTCCTACAGTTGGATATGACTGGAGGGGAAACCTTTGCCTTTTATCTTCTTTTTTTAAGATATTCACACTTCTTAATATTTTGATACAGTAATGAGATTTAGTGTCTGAAAGTAATGTTCAAATTTTTCTTAATCTGCAGAATAGCAAACCTTAGGCTAGTTTAATTTAAACACATGCACAACACATCCAAATGCTGCAACCCCCCCCCCCCCAAAAAAAAAGAAAACACCAAGGAAGCCACCCACTTTGTGTCTACTCACTTTGTGTTTTTGCCCTCAATGTCTGCATCATGCTTATGGGTTCTTCAATAACGGGATCCCATTCTACGAAGTCTAGTTTGGACTTAGGGCTGGAAATCAACATGAAAATCCTCTTTTCCTTTTTTGGTTAATTGCACTACATAACATACACAACACACACTCCATTTTTTTTTTCTTCCACAAAGGAGACTTCATATGACTTGAAAATGGGGGCTCGTTTTGAGATTCTACATTCTGGAAATCACTACTGTTTCCAATCAATAGCAACGTTTGCCTTTTTTCTTTTACTGCTGGAGAAATCTTCAATGATCAGAAGCTGTACTTTCGCTGCTGCCACTTTAATATTGGACAGTAGCGTTTTCGTACATTTTCATGATGCATACATAGGCCTCAGATGTATTAATATTTTGACGACATACAAATGCCTGGAATATGTTGAAACTTGCACTTCAGTTTATAAGACCTTTTTTTTCTGACCTGATGTTTGGGCCTGAAAGATTTATACATTGATCTATATGACACTCTAGTCACTGACACTTAATATTTCTCCTCTGTGCTGGAACATTAGTTTGTAAGCCGGTGCTAGATTCTGTTTGACATGTCTGAATCTTGTGGGTGGCATTTGGCACCTTTGGTGCCAAGCGATTCTTGTGTTAATCAAAACAGAGGAGCCTTTTTTTTTTTCAACCTTCTTCCTTGCTAAAAATTTGACTAGTGTACAGTATATATGCAAATTCCACCATTATTTTCCCAGCAATAATAATATCCTCAATCCCATATTTTTCCTTATGCTGAATGTCTTATTAAAATATTGACAAAAGAGGAATGACTGTTTCCTACAGTGTAGCTTTCAGATTGTTGATTTCTCCATTGGTGGAGGTAGTAATCATGAATCACGCTAATAGATGTTTAAATGTACGAAGATTCCTGTGTTGATATCTCTGTGACATTACTCTTTCTGGTCCATGACTAATCTTGATTTAATTCCATCAGATTGACTAACTCTCTTTTAAACTGCTTTGTTTTAGAATTATCCCCTAGGTATTGTTATACCCTTCCAGGAAACGATAGTCCCAGCTAATAGTAGTAACATTTTCAAACCATACATTATTGAACCAACAGGTTTTAATTCTTACTGCACAATCACTTGTGATCCCGGATGGCCTGACTAACCTTTAGGAGCAGAAAATTTAATCATACATATTGAATTAAATATTTTGGCAAGTATAGAGAATTTAGATAAAAGAAATGCTTCACAGTGAAGCATTTTTTAACCAAATCTGCCTGTAAAATAATGCTCTTACACTGTTCCTGAAATCCCTTCAGATTTCTTTTTCATTATTAGAGAAAGATTGGTATTACTTCACCAGGAGGAGTTTATTGTGTAGCCCTTTGAATTTAAATTTCTTCTTCAGTTCCATCTCTAGTAGTCATCTTAGGTCCTCCTTAGGTCTGTTCTGCTTTCTTGTCAACTTGGAGACAGAAGTGGAGATGGCGAGCATTTAAGGTGTATTCCACAAATGTTGCCAATAACTAGTTTCATCTCTGAGTTGCTGCTATCCCTTTCTGAAGAACTTTTAAATAAGGGTGAGTTGGTGATTGTACCAACTCCACAAAAAGCCAAGAGAAGTCACAACTTTGGTGAGACTTGAAGATGTTTAAACCTGCCCTTCAACATGTATCAAAACAATCTAGATTGCTGCTGAAACTAAATATGCTGCCTTTTTTTAAATTAAAATTTGTTTTGTTGAATAACCACACTGATGAGGGGAATGTATTGATCACAGCTTCCACTCTTTACCAGGTGCATGAACAAGAAAAGCTCAAAAGTCTTCTATCAGGAATAGCCTAATAGGGTTATTCTGGGTTATTGCTCAGAATGAGTCCCCACCCCCCACCCCGTCTTCCCCTCCAAGTTGGTATCAAGCCTTCTTTCCTGAGAATTTTATGATGTTGGTATATAAGTGACCCTCTCAAATTCCACAGCAATGATCACTTGTGAATTAGTCTGACTTATTTGATTATATCAGATGACCTAAAAGAGCTAACTTGGTAGAAGTGTGAAAGGGGAGAAGCCTCTTTGGGTGACCTAAGGAATTCCCCAGATCGACAGCTCTACGAGCTATCTTAAGGTCTTCCAACCACTACCCACCCCTCCTAAGTAAGTAATTACTAACAAACAAGTCTTCATCCCCCACATTCTGTTTGGCCTATACAATTATCTCATTTCTTGGTTTTAAGAACTCAGATACTATCTTCAATTGCTATAATCTCTAAATAAGAAGTGTTTGGGCTGTTTACATTAGTAAAGATTACAACTCTTACATAAGTTAATATGGCTTTTTCCATCAACATTAGAGGGACACGAGATCCAGGAAACAAGCTGTGCATTTCTAGATAAATCTGTCCCTTCAGCCCAGTGGTAGAATGCATAGTTTGCATCCCCTACATCCTAAATTCAGCCCTGAAGTTCCAGTAGGCCTGGGGTGCTAATATTTTGTGAAGTTCCCAATCAACAGTGGACAAAATTGTTCAACTGCAGCTTTTAGAGGCTCTAGAAGTCATGGTCAGTGTTGAAAGATACTGGGAGTATTCAGCAATATGATTTCCCTTTTCTATCTTACTCAGCTTTTGTTCTTCAGACAATTCTGGGAGTGAGTGTTCCCAGAATTACAAGGTTGAAAAGTTGTTTGTTATGCAACGTGGGAATAACGATAGGTGCAAAAATAATATGTAAGAAAATGTAGGGTAAATGGCTCAATGGTCTGATTTATTCAAAGGCCATATTATAATGCTTTGCATTTCTCATCATCCAAAATCTGAATTGTTTATTATAGCATACAGAAACCTCCATAACTAGCTTTATTTTTCTGGGAGGGTGTCAGTATGTTAAAATCTGATATTCAAGGCATAAGACCATTAGGTTTCTTAAGTTTGCCCTCTTCTCCAAAAAAATGTTCTGCATTTTGCAATTCTTTTCCATTGACTGTATATTACAAAAGAAGAAGAATCAAATTGCAGTTCTCAGAAGACAAATATGAACTAGCCAGACATTCTAGATTTTGCAGTCTTGTATTGCTGGCATTTCAGTTTGGTTAGCGTTGCTAGTTCTAATGAAAGCATCTATTTTGATTCAGTTAACTAGCATGTTTTGCTCTTTTAAACAGCGTGTGCAAGAGTGTAAAATAAAAATCTACTAGAAGTTGAACATTTATTGTGAAAGAAAATGGTGAGAAACAATGCAAGTACCTGATCCTTATGGTCAATCATTTCATGGCATAAACAGGGTTTTGGATGAAGGCAAAATGAAATGGATGCTCCTCTATTTGCCCCTCAGAGTCCCTATATTATATCTTTTACAAGTAGGTTGATGCAACCCTCTGAAAAAACTTTTCAAAATGCAATTAGCTATATTTTATTTTGCCTTCCTCCTGAGCCTGTTCCCATATATACGAGGAATTTTCCCTCTGAGCTGTACTGGTTTAGTTCCTAAACCAGCATTCCACTAGAATACAACTTGGGTTTGGGGAAGGGGTTTGGGAGGGGGGAGAAACATTGACCCTGCAGGATGTCTCCTTCAGTTCCTTCAAGGCTCAGTAAAATCAGCAGGTTTGGTGGCAAAGAGATGCAGAAAAAAAACCCATTCTATACATTTACGGTCTTTGGGGGCAAGGAAATGTTTTGCATGAAATGGGGGATAAAGAGGTTACATTTTTCCAGGTAATTTTCCAATTAGGACACATGTATCCAATTTGTCCTGGGTCAGAAACGAGCAAATCTGCTTAACAGAAACAAATATTGGTGCCTTATCAGAAGCGTTCAGATTCACAGACATACAATATGCAATATCGGTACAGTATTCCATATATAGCATAGCTTTTCAGTTATCCTTACAGCCATATCAAGACTTGTGTTCGAACTGTGTAGATAAAGGCTTTGAAATCAAAGTTTACTCAGAAAGACACATTTTTGAATGAGTTCCAAGTTCACTAGAATTACATCTTTCATGAAATCCTCCCCATTCTCTTGCACAGCATGAACAAAGTGCCTGCAACTTTAACAGAGGCATAGAATAGGATGTACTCAACCGCTGCAGTTTATCTAAATGTCTGATAAAATCATTGGATGATGCAATACATACTGATGAGTGCAAAACAAAAATAGAAGCAGGCTAGTGCAAAAGAAAGCTACTTCAGCAGCAGCAGCAGCGGTGGGGGTATCTGGAGTATTTCCTGCTGAATGTCGGCCTAATACCTATAGAAACAGAGAACCTTTGGTTTTAGAAAAAGAGCCGGCCTTTGCGGTGCCGTCGGCTCGGGGCAGGATGGCTTCTAGCTGAAGACGATTCCTGGCACCACTGCCGCTGTCACTCCTCTCTTCCCCCTTCCCCCTTCCCCGCCCGCCGCAGACGTGATACTAAAGCCGCTTGGGCCAACTGCCCTAAATAGAAGCTGCCGGCATGGAGCAAGCGACAGCGGCCCAGGCCTTGGAGCAGGTAAGGCGCTGGCGGGCGGTGGGGCGGAGAGTCCCACAAACAGCAAGTCGACGGTTCCGGGATCGGTCCCGTCCCGCCCAGAGAAAGGATTCACAGCGATGGCTCCCAATGACATCTGTCTGTCTGTGTCTCTTGTCTGCTGGCCCGGGGCACATCCTGCAGCCAACATCGCCACCTGCTTTCTGCTGCCCGGAGAGTAAGGTCAGGATAGGGTTAATAGCCGTAGGACTTCTCAGGCTACAAGCTTGAGCCCCCAAAGCTCGCGCCGAGGTTCAGTTACGAAACGGATTTGTGTACAACAGGGAGCAACTGCACAACGCGAACTTCCCCTCCGAATCCCCCCCCCCTGCTTCCCCAATGTGCCTGGGCTTTGTGCTACTGAAGCACCTTGTAGCTTAATACTGATTCTGCCTGACAATTTTCTCATTAGATGCACCCCCACCGTCCTCCAGTTTTCTGTATTTATTTCTGGAGATATATCCTCCCCGTTTCCCTTCTAACCCCTCCTGGTTTGGTTTGTTTTAATTTCTGATGTATCTTTTCCTTAGCTTTCTTTATACTCCATCTCCCCCAGCCTCTTTTCCTGGTGCTGATGTAGAACTGACCCTACTTGTTAGGAATATAAGTCACCTATTTGGGTTAGCAATATATAAACCAGGATAGACATTTTAATACTGTCTCTTTAAGAGAATCCTAAAAGTGTAATTGGGTGTGGTTTCTCAAACTGTCATAAGATGGAACCAGAAACCTGGGTTGTCTTAGTCTTAGTCTCAGAAGAGAGTGTGTCTCAGTCTCCGTTTCCTTCTGTTGGAGAGTTTTGCCTTTCTTTCTAATTGACTGATATTCTTGGATTTGCTGTAAGTCTGATACTGAACTTTTTTTTGATACTGGAATTTGTTATTGGATTATCCCTGGACTGAAAACTGACTGATTTAACCTGTGAATGACTTTGGACTGTGTTTGAACTTTGCTTAAACCTTTATTGAAAGTAAAAAAACCCTACATTTACTGTACAGTGTATCTCTGTGCTGTGTGTGATTATTCAAACACTACTCTCAAATACGTCTCCCTGTATGCGCTCATTCTCCTAACGGGGAATTACCTCAACACTACTGGAAAGTAATATCTCAGCAGTAAAGCCTGGGATGGGACAGGCAGAGTGTTGGTGGGTTTTATTATTGTTGTAGACTGCCCAGAGTTGTGGCAGATGAAGATGGGACGCCATATATGTCCAATCAGTCAATCAATGCGCCTAGCAATGGGGCATTTCCACACTTGTTCCAACCTCACAGGATTGTTGTAAGGAAAAAGAGGGTACACCACCCAGAACTCCTATACAATGTAAATCAAATTAAAGAGAAGTTTTCTTTGAATTCTATCCAAGAATGGCCTCAAGGTGTAAAATCTGTTAGGCACCATTACCTTGGAGCAGGGGTGGGATTCGAAAATTTTAACAACTGGTTCTGTGGGCATGGCTTAGGTGGTGGGCGTAGTTTGGTGGTCATGTGACTGGGTAGACATGGCTGGATGGTCATGTTATTGGCTGGGTGTGGCCAACTCAATATCACTCACATCGAGGCCCACATCTCCTCGCCTGCCTTCTCATGACTGTGGGGTTGCTGCAACAGTCGTAAGTGTGAAAAATGGTCATAAGTCATTTTTTTCAGTGCCATTGTAACTTTAAATGGTCACTCCACACAAGCAAAGTACCAGCAAAGGAGGGGAAAAAAACTCCAGAGTTGTTCCTGAGAAAGGAAGTCTAGTCCTGCCAAGAATATAATAAGGGTTATCAAAGAGGCAGTTTCTGTAAGCAACACCAGACTGTTTCCTTCCTGCCTTCCTTACAGGATTAGGCCAGTAATTTCCTCTAACAACCGGTTTTCCAAACTGCTTAGAATGTTAACAGGTTCTAGTGAATACGTGTGAACTGGTAGAATCCCACCCCTGTCTTGGTGGGAAGTCCAAGGAATAATGGCAAAATAGGTGTCAGTAAGATGGAGGGCAAATTTCATGCAAGTACTGTTTTTTGCTGAGTCAAGGATAGTGAGTAGAAGTTCTTGGTATGTTAAAGAATTTTATATTCTGGGTGCTTCTTAACTTATGAGTGTGATATTGCAGCCTAGTCTGATATAATAATGGAAGTTCTTGTACTGTTTAACAGTACTAGAAATAATAAAACATTTTAAAACAATTGTGTAGAAACATGCTCTATCTCAGAAATATATTTCTACATCTCAGATTATATGTATGTATGTATGTATGTATATATTTGTTTTCTTAAGTTTTCGTGGGTATTTATATGTATGGTGTTCAGCTTTGTTCAGGTATTTTCCCACGTCATTATAGTTGTGCTTTTAAAGTTGTAGCAACGTTTTGGCAGAATCTCATCTGCCATAATCAGGCTTCTGTATAGACTTCACAGAAGTCCTGTCATGCCATCCTGGAAGCAGGTGCCATTTTCGGAGTGGCTGCAATGAATTGTGGCCGCTCTGAAAAACTACTGTGTGGTCTCCATAGTATGTATAGAGAGACAGAGGGGGTGGATTGGCTGGCTCTCCTTGCCAAAGATGATCTATGGACAGGTAGTTCCAGTGGTGGGATTCAAAATTTTTTACTACTGGTTCTGTGGGTGTGGCTTGGCTTGGTGGATGTGGCTTGGTGAGCACGGCTTGGTGGGCATGGCAGGGGAAGGATACTGTGTAGTCTCCATTCCCTTCCCACTCCACTAACCTCCACTAACCTGCTTTCCAGCTCCGTTCTCCTGTGCAGGGCAACAAAAGAAGACCCAGCCGATCAGCTGGGACTCTGGAGGCAGAGAATAAATGGTGGTGGGGCCAATCAGAGGTGGTATTTGCCAGTTCTCCGAACTCCTCAAAATTTCCGCTACTGGTTCTCCAGAACTGGTCAGAACCTGTTGAATACCACCTCTGGGTAGTTCATTATGGCCAGCTACATCCAAAATGGTGCCCACTTCTGGAGGGAGCCTTAGGGCCAGATCTTTGGAGAAGGAACTTTGCTTAAGGCTTATGGGGCCCAAAGTTCCCAGTCTCTCATATATATACTGTATATATACATATAAATGACATATAACTTTCTTTAACAGATAGGATTTGAATTAACATAACTTGGTCTGGGTGGCCTTATGTCCTCCTTGGTGGATTTATTATGAACTTGTGCAAGATTTAAGCTTCTGTCTTCACCGTGTTCAATATTTCCTAGGTGTGATGGAGGAAATAGAGCCATGGAAGTGGTAAGGAAATATCTGAAAGGCTTATTTGCAAAATTAAGAAGGGCTGTCCCTTTTGTCTTGTTTTGTTTAAATCCTATTACTATTTAACTTGATTTGGTTTCATAGACCTGGATGAAAAAGATAGGATGTCCTCTTATCATGTAGACTTACAGTGTATGGTTCAGGTCTGTAGCATTCAGATCCTAGAAGCTGCACTGAGCATAGATGTAACAAACCCCTGTTTAACTCTGCCCTTTTCTCTTTGGCCTTCAGGTGCCATCACTGAACAATGGCCTCGAGCATCTGGAAGAAACAGGTGAGTTGTGTCCTGGATTTGTCCATTGATGGGGTGACCATTGTCAACTCAGCTGATGCTAATTAAAGGCATTTGTGCCAGGGAAGATTAATTGGATACTAATTGCCTGCTTGGGGGGGGGGGTCTTCTAAAACTGCTATTCACATTATTTAGAGTACCCACTATTTATGTGGCAACCCCATGTAGCAAGGTTGTTTTCTTTTTAGTTTAATACTGCTTAATACTACTCTCTCGGTCTCTTCCATATCCAGGTGCTAATTTCCCCCTATTTCAGTATCTTGTAGTTTTCATACAGGGAATTTGGGTTTGTTGCTACTTAATTGCATTCCATTTCAAACAAATCAAGAGACATTTGACCTTAACTGGATTCAAAATTCAAGTTTAGGTTTAAGTTTCTTGGCCAAATTGCAATATTTTGCAGCTTCTGTTTTCCTTCTGTCAAAGAGGAATAATGGTGCCCTATCTCACTGGGTAGTTATGAGAGTATTCAGTGGGGATTATACAGCTACAGTTTACGATAGCAATTGGGACTGAAATTGCTGCCACTAAATGATGTCATGAAGTGCAACATCATCTGACCACATTGCTTAGCGACTACAATTCTAGCAATCCCAGTTGCCATCATAAAATGAGGACTATATAGGTTGTTAAGTGAGGACTTCATGTGACTGTGACTTTTAATTTTCTACTGCTACTGCATTGACTTTGCTTGTGAAAAGCTAGCAGGGAATATTGGAAATTGTGATCACATAACCTCAGCTTGTTACAACATTATAATCGTGATCTGGGCGCAGAACATGTGGATTACAATCATGTTCCGGTGAGGATGCTGTGATGGTAAAAACAATGAGGACCCATCATAAGTATTATTGTTCAGTGCCATCATAACTTTGAATAAATGCTGAACAGATAGTTGTTATCCAAGGGCTACTTAATAAAGTTGTTCAAGTGTCATAGACATGTATTCATAAGTATACAGCTCCCTCACTGCCAATTTTAAGAAGCAATTAGATAAAAGTTTTTTCCCTTTGGTAAAAAGCTTTTTTCTTACATATATTCCATTGTAATATTGTCCTATTGTAATAAGAGAATGCCTACAGAAAACCTGATGTTAGTACATCTATGGTTTTCTGCTATTTGAAAACATAATAATAATCGTGGCATTAGTCAGAGACAGCAGAACAGAACACAAGGAACTGGAGAAGATTACTGGTGCAGTGGTTAGAGTGCAGTACTGCAGCTACTTCTGCTGACTGCCAGCTGACTGCAATTTGGCAGTTCAAATCTTACCAGGCTCAAGGTTGACTCAGCCTTCCATCCTTCCAAGGTGGGTAAAATGAGGACTCAAATTGTTGGGGGCAATATGCTGACTCTGTAAATCGTTTAGAGAGGGCTGTAAAAGCACTGTGGAATGGTATATTAAGTATAAGTGCTATTGCTATTACAAAATACAAATACTTGCCAGTAGAAATAGAATAACTGTGGCAAAATAAAGCAAAGCAATAGTAATAGACACCTTGGGTACAATCCCAAAATAATTGCAGCACCAATTGAACATCATTGGTATTGATAATTATTAGTCAACTGCAAAAGACAGACTTCCTCGGAACATCTTATATCTTGTAATAATATCTACAACATTATCAAACATCCATATCTGCCTATCCCAGATCTTTGGGAAGGTCTCGGTAGGCAGATAAAAATGCCAAATCCATTCTGAACATCTGACTGACCATGTGACAAACCATAATAATAAATGAAGTGAGTACTTATTTTCTAATGGTCAGGTGGAATATATAAATGAGTGATGGTCAGTATAATCATAATTGCTGCAAGAATAGGTTTGTTTCTTTGCACAATTAATTTCAGCCCAGCATATGCCTGCTTGCAGCTTTATATGATCAACATCACAGCTGTAGACTTAATGACATGGACAGAAGTTTGGCTTGATTCAAAAGGACAACATGACTTTTATTCATTTATGAAAGATCTTTCAATGTTTTGATTTACAATGCTTGCCCACTAGGCCCCGCCTCATCTCTGGACATTGAGGAATCTGCTTTGAAAGCCAATGTTGTTGTGCAGGAAGCCAAGGATTTGACTGCCAGTGACAAAGAAGTGAATTTGATAATGACAAATGTAGTGGCAGATGGCAGAACTGAGAGGCAGGACCCAGAGCCAACGGTGTTTGATGCTGAGACTGCAACACACATTGGCAAAGTGACAGCTGCAGATGCCATTGCTGTTGAACTGGATTTCAAGTCAACCCATTCAGAGATCAAAGACTTGGACAGAGCTCACAGCAACAGTGGAGCAGGCAATGACATGATACCCCAAGGTAGGATTAAGGATTGGAGTACCACAGCAAGAACACGGATTTCAGAAGATACAGGTCAGTTTAACAAAGGCACAGTCCTGGGTCCCAGCACTCGAGTAACATCAGAGGACACAAAGCTTGAACAGGCCAAACAGGAAGATGACGATGATGATGTCATTTCACTCGACTGTGAAATTCTTGGGTTTGGTCCTGATATTGAATTCCTGGGCCCAGATGCTGAAATCTATATGCAGTTCATGCGGAGTCATCGCTGTTATGATGCTATTCCCACCAGTTCCAAACTGGTCGTGTTTGAGACCACTCTGCAGGTAAGGAGGATACAGGTGTTTTGTGAACCATGTAGTAATTTGAGGAGGGACTGGGGGAATATTGTTATCTGATTATATTGCTGTCTGAGTCTGCTGGGAGCTTGGTATCTTAGATGTTTATTTACTTACTTGAGTTTATATGCTACTTCGGTCTAAAGATTCTTTAAGTAGCTAACAATACTCTAATATAAATTAGGTTTAAAAATATGCCATAGCAAACAGTGTAAAGGCTCATCCTCTTTTCAACTTTGGGAATAGCTGCTGTATATTCATACTTCCATTCTATTTCCAAAGGACTTATGGAAGAGCTAGGTCTTCACACCTTCTGAAATATCAACAAGGCTAGAGTCATCTTTGTCTCTGGACATAGATTGTTCCTAGGAGGGCAGCCATACAGGAGAAGGGACATTTATGGATTTCTCTTGTTCACACCCTTGAAAGGGAAACATGTGCAGGATGCTCTGCCATCCAGCATTTTCCAGAAGGCTGAATTCTCTTCAAAAGTGTGTGCCCTCTTAGATAACGGGAGAGCTTTGTATGTTATAAGCAGGACCTTGAATTGCACCCTGAAGCTTCCCAACAACCAATGCAACTCTTGCAGTACTGGTGTCACATGGGTACATCAAGCTCAACCCATTACCAGACATGTAAGTCAGTGTTGGGATTCAAATTTTTTTACTACCGGTTCTGTGGGCCTGGCTTGGTGGGCGTGGCTGGAGAAGGATACTGTAAAATCTCCAGTCAGAGGGAGTATTTGCCCATTCTCCAAACTGCTCAAAATTTCCACTACCGGTCCTCCAGAACTGGTCAGAACCTGCTGAATGCCACCTCTGAAGTAAGTGCATTTTGAACCATTCTATAGCTTCTGAATAGTTGCAAGGACATCCAGGATGGCATATTACAGTAGTGTTTAGGTGGCTAGGATGAGGAAATGGTGGGCTTGCTGCCATCTTGGTTACATCTTTTTTTTATGCGGCTGCAAAATTTGTTCCTCATTCACATTGGAAAAGGAAAGATTGCACATATGAACATTATTATAAGGAGCCCAAATGTAGCCTCAATCTTTGGTACAATCTCAGGCTCACTGGAAATTATTCTGCAAAGAATCAGCTTGAGCATATTGACAAGTATTTATCTTGCCTATCAACATGACCAGAATTTGATTTATTTAACGTGAGAAAAAAGCTATAAAACAATGGCATAGCTGGTTCACAAGAATATAGCTGTTCCTGGGTGTCCCAAAGGTGTTTTTTTCAAGAGGCAACTGGACATTCTGGTTTTTCTTTGAAGACATTTTGTTTCTCGTCCAAGAAGCTTCTTCAGCTCTGACTGGATGGTGAGGAATGGAAGGATTTATACTCTTTGCAGACAGCTGGTCAATTGTATTCTTTTAGAGAGTCGTTGAGGCCACCTGGAGGTTTGTCTGTAATGTCAGAGTCATCTGAGTAGTGCAAATGGATGTGGAGTCTTCTTGGAACTGTTGAAAGGACTGTGTTGTAGACTGGAGATAGATGATGTTGTATTCCTTCCCCTCTGTTGAGAGAGGGCTGTTCAATTTTGACATAGATGGTCTCTTTGACCCCTCTTTCAAACTAGGTATCCTCTCTGTTCAAAATGTGGAGATTGCTGTCTTCAAAAGGGTGGCCTTTGTTTTTACCTTGAAGCGAAATGTCTTCAAAGAAAAACCAGAAAGTCCAGTTGCCTCTTGAAAAAAGCACCTTTGGGACAGCCATGACCTGGATGACTGAGAATCTCCATAGACACTATTCCTGGTTGTTTTGCATGAGAATTCCTTGAATTGACCGGAATGCTGCATTAGAGGTGACCACTCCGTCAGTAAAATATATCTTCTATGATATTGTCAAAGCAAAGAAATGCAGAATAAAGAACCAATCCTGAGTCGGTCTTTCCTTGTCCACTGTGCAAGGTTAATTCAGTTATTCCCTACGGAGACAGGGTGCGGGGTGGGCCGCAGAATGCAGCCCCAGTCAATCTGGTTTCTGTCTCTTGTCCCAGATTAAAAAGGCGTTCTTGGCCCTGGTGGCTAATGGGGTGCGAGCCGCTCCTCTTTGGGACAGCAAACAGCAGTGCTTTGTGGGTAAGTGATGCAACTGAATGAACAGCAGAGGCTTAACGCAGCAAAAGTTGGACATGGCAAAGATGGAGAGAGGATTTGGGATTGCCACTCTTTCAACAGTTTTTCCCTGAATGCCATCACTCTGCTAAACAAATAATTCCCTCAACAGTGTCCAACTATTTACAAAGTCTGCACTACTATTACTGTTAATCTTCTCATCCCTCCTTATCACCCATCCCCTCTCACTTGTGATTGTATGACTGACTTTGTCGCTTGTATCCTTACAATTTATATGGACTGTTTCCTAGTATGATTTGATTGCTTCCCTATGACTATTACTAAGTGTTGTACCTTATGATTCGTGACTCTTGATGAATGTATCTTTTCTTTTATGTACACTGAGATCATTTGCACCAAGACAAATTCCTTGTGTGTCCAATCACACTTGGCCAATAAAGAGTTCTATTCAAACTATATTAAGGAGAGTCAAGGAGGCAGAATTTGATGCATGCAGACATTTTAAGGTTCATCCACAAATCCTGCTTGCCACAGCATGAAATGCTTGCCAAGAACCTGCCCTCAAAATGCACCTTCACTTCACGGCCAGCCTGCTGCAGAGACAGATTAAAGTTGGTAAAACGGCCAGGCATGAACATAGTGTTTTCCTTCTTAAGCTGGCATCAGATCACTCATCCACATAATCCATGGTTTATGGAAAAGGAACCTTCAGAGGTCAGTCATCTGTGCAGCAATAGTTGGCCTACTGCAGAACCACCCCTACCTCTGGCTGCTGGGCTCTTCATCACTGGGATTATTTGTGCTGTGGCTGCCAGAAAGATTACACGCCTTCCCAGCACAAATGTTTTGTTTTTTTCGTTTAGAGGCAGCACTGGCAGTATATTGACCTCATGTAAGACAACATGCAGTAATCCCCTCAGTAAATCCAACATGAAATCAAACAGAAAGGATCCTACCTACCATTCGCAGTCATATTTGTAACTCTAGAAGGAAACTGGTTATGGTATATGAATTGGCTATAGACATATTTGGACACATTTTTCCTGGAACTGCCGCAGGCTGTTTTAGATGCTTACTTTCATTGTAGTGCTTTCCTTTGAGGGGACTACAAATCACACCATAATTTGACTTTACTGAAAACATGGATAATTTTATTTATAAAACATTATTTTATTATTTATTTTATATTTATGAAATTTATTAGCCGCCCATCTTACCATAGAATAACTCTGGGTGGCTTACAGTTACATATAAGCTAAAATATAAACAGTTAAAAAGAAACATTAAAACCAAAGACACATGGGGAGGGAAGAGGCAGAGGGTGTGTGTGGGAGAGATGGGATCTGTTATTATTCAGTCAGCCACCTCCATTGCACTGGGGCCCCAAGCCGACTGGCAGAGCCATGTCTTTAGGCCCTTACAAATAGATAGGAGGTTTGGGGCAACAGCAGATAAGGCCCCACTCATGGATCCCATCAGCTGGAATAATCGGGCTGACAGGACCCGCAGAATGCCTCCTCTGCCAGCACAAGTGGTACAGGCCAATCCCAGTGGGGTGATACAATCCCTCAAGTAACCTGAGCCATGCCATGGAGAGCTTTAAAGGTGATCACCAATACCTTGAATTGCACCTTTAAGTCTTTAAAATATCAATTTTAACATTTTGGGTCCGTTCTATTGCCTCATGCATTGATGCCTATTTCAATTAAGGTTGGAGCAAGCAATATTTTAAATACACACACACACACACACACACTTTAAAAATTGCAAATGTTATAGTATTTACAAAACTGGGAGGATGGAAAGGAAGCAGGATGCTTGCTCAGCAAAATAGGTCTGTCAATAGCCTAGAAGAAACTGGATGCGCTTATTTTATTTCAGTAGAAATAAGAAAGAATAAGTTGCCAAATTTGTGCTTTGTTCCCAAATTTCAATCGTGAGTTCCAGGGGCCCATGTGGATCTTGTTACCTGTGAGCTCTAACATACCCCTGGTTAGATCATTCAAACTCTTCTCCCAACCTACCCTTTGATGGCTAGTGGTTATCGGGCAGGAAACATGGATAGCACTCCATACTAATGGCAGCAGGAAAGGGTAAATCATTAGGAGTGTAGAAATGCGGAAATCAGCAAGAAGAGGAGGCAAAATTGACTATAAGAAGCCATATATAATGTAAATTCTGTTAGGCAGTTTATAGCCCGCAGCCCATGTCCTGCAACCTCTCTGTGTGTATAAGTGGCATTCATTCATTCATTCATCCATTCATTCATTTTACCTTCTCTCCTGCAGGCATGCTGACCATCACTGATTTTATTAATATTTTACATCGCTATTATCGATCTCCTATGGTGAGTTTTCCAGTACCTTAACATCTTCTCAAATCTGGAGGAAAGTGGCTTTAGACAGTTTTGTTGAGGGGACTGGAGAGAAGAAGAGAGGAAACAAATTGGGACGACCACCCAAAATTAAGTTGCAGGCATGAGCTGTTCCATATTTGGGATTATAAGAGTTGAGTCTTTCAGCTGGAAAAATGGGTAGGTGAACAAAAATGTTTCAAAATGGAACCCAAGAAAGTGGACACATCACAAATTGTTTTTCATTGGCCTACGAGCAACTTTTAGAATAAATATTCATTGATGTGGTAAATACAACTGAAATATTAGTGTGTTTAAAAATAAATGTTTTAAGAAAATCTGAAGTGTCCCTAAACACTTTAAAAACAGAATTCTGGGGAAAACTTTATAATGCATATCTACTCAACATATTTATTGAGAGTCAACATATTTGTCTTTTCATATAGACTAGCCATAGAGCCATTTCTAAAAGCAATATGAAGTTACACTATTGGGTTCTCATTCAAGGGAACAGGAAGGGACTTTTTAAGATTATCCATCTCACTTCCATATACAAGAAGCTAATACCGAGAGGTGCTCATTGAATGGCTGGCTTTAAAAAATGAGGGTCTATCTTGTTCACAAACAGTGTGTTTTACGTAACTCATACTTCTCAGGAATTTTCTTTAATATGTATGCTTTAAATATTCTAAAATGCATATTTTAAAATTTGAAATCGGTTGGTCAGACCATTTGAAGCAACAGAAAGCAAATGCACATTATGAGACATCCATCAAATATAGTAGTTGGCACTCAAAAGCATCTTTTTATTATGTCTTTTTCAAATTTTTCCAGTTAGAAGTTTTCCACAAAGAGTTAGGCTGAAACCCAGGTCATATAAAGCAGAGAGTGTGATTCTTTAGAATAGTTATTAATATATCCAGAATAATTTGGGTAGGTCCCAGCCAGCTTCATCCTAATTCAGAGTCTCCACAAAATTCTATTCCCAATTTGTTTCTGCAGAGTTGCCACCAAAAGTCATGGGTTTTTATTAGCCACAAGTAATCCAATTGACCCCAGGCTCACTAAAAACACAATAAGCACCATAAATTAGGAAAGTGTGTTTGGTTTTGTATCTTCCTTCAGTGGCTGGGAAAGTTTTATTATATAAAGCAAAGATGGTTTACCAACAAGAACGGTAAATATGAATGTCTTCAACTATTTTATATATCAGTAACTTACTAGTACTGCAAAAGCCTCAAGAAAACAAATTTTGATAGGAAAGGCAGGGGTGTTGTTGGGTTCAGTGAATAGCAGGTCTCTCATCAAATTAATCCTTGCTTCAATCATTGTTCAAGCCAATTTCAGCATTGTTGGAGCTGGAAAAAAAACCCTTGGAAATGAGGGATGTTTGGTGATAGAACAGATAACAGATAATCAGAGTTGGAAGGGACCTTATAGGTCATCTAGTCCAAGGTGGGAGACCCTACACCATTTGTGACAAAGGACAGTCCAATCTCTTCTTGAAAGCCTCAACTGATGGTGCTCCCACAACTTCTGAGGGCAAGCTGTTCCATTGGTTGATTGTTCTCACTGTCAGAAAGTTTCTCCTTATTTCCAGGTTAAATCTCTCCTTGTTCAGTTTCCATCCATTATTCCTTCTATTATTCCTTCTATTATTCATTATTATATATAATTTGCTTCTTCGCACTATCATCCAGTTTTTGTCCTGCAGAATTATGAGATAAATCTAAAGTTTAGCAAAGGGGCTTCCCATTACAGAGGTTCTTTTTGCTGTAAATTTCTTCACAAGTCAATCCCAAAACAGCAAAGCCATTGACTTTTTAAAAAACTACATTTTAAAAAGTATGCAGCTTAGAACTCTGCATGATGAAATTTGACATACATCTTCCATTTATAAAGATTTACCTTGTCTTGAAAGATCATCTAAATTCTGGTGAAACATTTGAAAGATAGATCTACCTGTGTTTTTCCCATACTAAACAGAAAGTAGGTAAAATCTGACTCTTCCCCCCACCCCAAGCTTAATCTAGAAGCCCTGAGTCTGGAATGAATTATATTTGGAGCAATAGGAACTGGATTGGATTATTTCCACTGTTCCAGACTGGATCCCTTAAGAATAATGGATGATTTCTAAATCTAGTATTTCTTCTTAATTCAGTAATAGCAAATAGTAGTGTGATAGTAAACTCACATGATCAACACTGATATCTGACCTATTCACTACTATTACTTTGTTCCAGGTCCAGATATACGAGATTGAGGGGCACAAAATTGAAACTTGGAGAGGTAAGTGGGGTTTCCGTCAAAGAAATTGAATATCATAAATGCAGTTTAACATTTTTAACATTAGTTAACATTATCACATATTTGAATGTTATATTTATATCTATTTACTTGCATCAATCTTAGATTAAAACCATTCTTTAAATTCAGATTTAAATTGTCTAATCATCCAATATTCTTTTACTAAGCAAACAGTGGGTATTATTTGGCTATGTACTGATTATTTGTTCTGTTTTCACTGGCTCAAAATTGACTCATCCTTCCATCCTTCTGAGGTTGGTAAAATGATGACCCAGATTGTTGGGGCCAATAGGCTGACTCTGTAAACTGCTTTAGAGAGCTGCAAAGCACTGTGAAATGGTATATAAGTCTATTCTATGTACTATTACTATTAGTTTCATGCTATACCTACACCCTTTCTTCACTTTTTCTATACTGGCTTTACAGTCTGGTTTTTGTTATTCTCCCAAGTTTATATAGGCTACTAGTGCTGGTCTGTTATTATCCTAAATTTGTTTTGAAAGATATAGAAATTCTACTGCATATAAACAGGCAATCTGGCAAATTCAGCTTGTATTGTTGATAGAATCTGTTCTTATTACATTATCAACTGCATTTATTAATTATATGCTATCCATCTGTCTCCCTTTCTCTCCAGAGGTGTATTTGCAGGGTTCCTTCAAGCCTTTGGTGCATATTTCTCCAAACCACAGGTAGGTCAAGCATTTCCCAGATAGGCAAGAGCAGGAAAGCATCCTATTTTTGTAAGAGGTTTGCCAACCTTCATTCTCACCACCTAATGCAAAAGGTTTCACTCCACCACATACTACAAAACCCTTGTCACTTTGTGGCTGTCAAAAAGAAATCAGAGAGATGTCTGATAATGTGGGATATTTCACACACACACACACAGAGAGAGAGAGAGAGAGAGAGAGAGAGAGAGAGAGAGAGATCCAGGGATACCCTAATACCGGGGTCTCCAACCTTGGCAACTTTAAGACTTCAACTCCCAGAATTCCTCGGCCAGCAAAGCTTGAAGTTGAAGTCCACAAGTCTTAAAGTTGCCATGGCTGGAGACCCCTGTCCTAGTAGAATCTATGATACTTTATAACTTTATCAGCTGATAACAGGCAGAAAAAAAAATGATGCTTTACCAATCATCTCTTAACCCAAAAACATTTATTTTTCCTAGTTGAATACAGGTATCCACAGCTGGGACCAGAAGTTCCATTGCTAAGCAAGGTGATAGTTAAATGAATTTCACTCAAAAAGTTTAGGATGTGTTTTGCCACATTTATTAAGCGGATCATTCAGTCATTTAGTAAATCTGACTTCCCCCATTAACTTTGCTTGATGGAAGCCAGCTGGGAAGGTCACAAATAGTGATTGCATGACCCAAGGATGATGCGACCATTGTGAGTACATGCCGGTTATCGAGCATCCAAATTTTGATCATGTGGTCATCGGGATGCTGTGACGGTCAACGGTATGAGGGGCAGTCATATGTCACTTTTTTTGCTGCAGTTCGTGACTTCGAATGGTTGCTAAATGAATAGTTGCGAGTCAAGGACTATCTTTACTCCAAGATTCTTTCCATAACAGGGAATAACTCACCTGTATTCCTTCACATACTCCTCCATTCTGAAGCTTGTCCATGCTCCTGAATCCCCTGGAGGAGACTGTCCAGAGATGAGGACCTAGACTTAGACCTTAACTTTATTGTCACTTTGAATGTACATTAATCGGCATACATTAAAATGAAATTACGTGGCATACGGCTCTCAAAGCATCTCCACTTCTAATATAAACAGAAACATGACGGGATAAATAAATATAAAATTATGCCCACATATTATATTATACGACACGGATAAACAACACAGTCTAGTTTGGAGGCATATATGTACATGGCGAGAGAAACAAACCTTGCAAGTTTACCAGATGGATGGCATAGGGAACTAAGCCATTACAGAATCTGGAAGTCCTGCTAGAAATACTTTGAAACCTTCTCCCGGAAGGGAGCGACAGAAACAGCAAGAGGAGGTTTCCCAGTCCATCCCTGTTGTGGTTAGCCGGCAGCAGGTGCGGACGGTTGAGGAGAGTGAGGACTCAGATGAGGGGCTAGGACCATTAGGGAGTGGACTGCTGCCTTCAGTGATTGTGGGGGCTGGCAACAGTGATGAGGAGGTTCCCGAGGAGCCCGTGCTAAGGGTTAGGGTTAGGGTTAGGTCTGCTCGCAGGAAAAAGCAGCTGCAGCAGCATGGGCAACTCGGGAGTAAGGCTGCAAGGTAATGGTCCCTCCTTCAAGAAGATAAAAGCCAGCTGTGAAGTGAATGTTCTTTGCAGGAAGCAAAAACATTTTGAAACTCCAGCCTCATGGACATTGCAGTATCTTAAGTTGATATTTGAAGACTCTTGTGTTGTTAAATAGTTCTTATCTGTTATTCTTGGCAGCCTCACACAGTTTTGGCGACGCTCATGCTTATCAAAGTTAATTAGTTTGCAGCAGCCTTTTAACCGGATATTCGTAAGAATCATTAAAAGGTTTCTATTCCCTTTGGTTTGTATTTGTTTTATTGGAAAAGGGTTTGGGTCAGAACAATCCCGAGGAACATCAGTAGTGAGATCCTACGTTAGTCACTACTGGTTCGGTGGGTGATCCCATGTGCACATGCACATGTGCGCACCCCTAATGCGCACATCCCTAACAAGCCAATCAGCTGAGAGGATGAAAAAACAAAAAGCTAGGACCAGGGGTGGGATTCTACCAGTTCAAACCTATTCGCTATTCCCTAGAACAGGTTGTTAAATTTCTAAGCAGCTTGGAGAACCAGTTGTTAGAAGAAATTACTGGCCTAAGGCAGGAATGCCTTCCAATTACTCGAAGGCAGGAAGAAAACATTCTGGTGTTGCTTACAGAAACTGCCTCTCCATTAACCCTTATTACATTCTTGGCAGGACTAGACTTCCTGTCTCAGGAACTTCTCTAGAGTTTTTTTCCCCTCCTTTGCTGGTACTTTGCTTGTGTGGAGTAACCATTGAAAAAAGTGATTTATGATCGTTTTTCACACTTACGACTGTTGCAGCTTCCCCACAGTCATGAGAGGCCAGGCGAGGAAATGCATGCCTCGATGTGAGTGATGTTGAGTTGGCCACCCCCAGCCAGTAACATGACCACCAAGCCATGTCCACCCAGTCACAGGACCACCAAGCCACACCCACCAACTAAGCCACACCCACAGAACTGGTTGTTAAAAAATATGAACCGCACCCCTGGCTAGGACCCTCCCTCCCATGTGCTTTTAGGTCTTTAATCCTCTCAGCTGATGTGGAGGCTTATTTTCCTCCTCTCCGCTGATCAGAGGCTTTTTTTTTTACCACCAGTTTGGCCGAACCAGTAGCATACCACCACTGAACATCACACAGCCTTTTCATGTCTCTCCTTTCTCCCTCTCCTAGCCTCTTTGATGCGGTTTATTCCTTGATTAAGAATAAGATCCACCGACTGCCTGTGATTGATCCCATCTCAGGAAATGTCCTGCACATCCTGACCCACAAGCGCATCCTCAAATTTCTGCACATCTTTGTGAGTGCTTGGAAGGTCTAGGAAGCCCGGAGTGCTGCTGCTGTGTGATGACTCTACTGAATTTGTTCCTTAAGGGTTTGTTTGTCAACCTGCACTGGCCATGCTCACGGTGCTTTTAAAAAGTTGAGAGAAAACTTTTTCTTGGGTTGAGCTCAAAAACTGGCACACAAATCTCTTCCGCCTTTCAAGGTGTTCACAGTTTGAAACAGGGACAGGGTGGAGTGAAAGATGGAGGAGGGTAAAGTTGTTGCCTTTATTTAAAACTTGGCTACTTGGAGAAAAAGTGGCCTTTGGAGAAAGGGTTAGAGTGGCATTTAGCTTATTACGTGCAGGATGTAGAATGGAGGGAGCCAGTACATATGGAGGGAGGTAAAACAGTCATGATAGAAATGGCTTTATGTGGTTGTAGCCTTTATATCTTCTATTCCACAGCATTTGGATCTGGTCTTTCATGAAAATCTCAATACATTGCTATAGTTATGAGCTGAAAGTATATTGCTAGCTAAAAGCTCTTTTGTGAAAGAAAGGTTGAGCGCAGAATTAAATTTTTCCACTTCATTGAATTCAGAATCATAGGCAAGCCATTGTAACAAGCCATGCTGGTTGAGAATTCTGGGAGTTGACATCTTAAAGTTGTCAGTGTTGGATAACCCTGTTCTTTTATTATTATTATTTTTTAATTACACATCTCTATTTACATTGTTAACAGTATTGTGTCATCAATAATACATATATTTACATTTATTCCTATACATTAATCCTTATTCCTGTGTTCTATGTCAGTGATAGCTAACCTTTTCAGCACCGAGTGCACAAAGTGCACGCACACCCCCAAAAAACAATGTGTGTGCATGTCCCCCACACATGGGCATGTGCCTCATGCACATGCATGATAGAGACCCAAAGACCAGGTGGCTGGCAGGAGACATGCACGCATGCGCAGTGGAGCTGAGTTGAGGCAACGGCTCACATGCCCAAAGAGAGGGCTCTGAGTGCTACCTCTGGCATGCGTGTCATAGGATCGCTATCACAGTTCTATCCATTTATACCATCTATCCCAAACTGCATAATATTCTGATTCCTCCTTGCCTTTTAGTTCTGTTGTAAGTTTATCCATCTCAGCACAATCTAGTATTTTTTGTTCTAAATGTTTTTTTCTTCCCAGAGCCAATTAATTCTCTGTCTTTTCTTATTTTATCCCTGAAGGGAGTTTGATCAGGCTAGGAGAGCTCACCTTGAGTAAGATTGCTAATGTTTTGGAAGGAGAACAAAGAAATAAGTGGTATAGCACTGAAGTAATCATTGAAGCTGTAGAATAAGGATTGAGAAGTAGATCTGTTTACCTTTAAATTAAACTTGGTTTGATGATCATGGTATTATTTTAGGTGAATTGAAGACAGATTGGAGAATCAATTATTACTGCCTTTTGATGAACCCCTCCTATTTTGGTGTCTTTCTCTCCTATGCTAGTTGATCCTTTTTTTTTTGGTTTGTCAATTGCTTACAAGATAATAGGTATAAGTAAAAACATAGTTATGAATATATGGATACAT